ATCATCCTTGAGGCGAGGCGCTTCTGTAGAGACTTCAAGGTATATCTGCCGCGTCCGCAGACCGAGGAGTCTTTTTCAATTCTTGCTGTTTAGTACTAGCCCTTCTGTATTTTTCAGATCTTGTTAGACATTCAGCAGTTAGAGTTGTGTAGTACTTCTTAGCTTGTGATTCATGGGTTTCCGGGTCTTGGATTTACGTGTTGGTTTTGAGCGTTAAATATGGTGTTTGCCGAACGGCACATTTACACACTGTTATTTCTTATTTCTGTTTTAAAGTGTTTTACTTCCGCAAATTTTTGGTTTCTTTTTCCACAATTTAGGCTTACCTAGTCGTAGAGACTTGGTGCCGTCACGATGGTTCACGGAGGGTGAAACGGGGTCGTGACACTATTTTAATGCAAATTTCATTGTTCTATTTTTGTGGGATTGTGGTCCTCATCCATATATAATATTTGTAATTTTTTTTTAAATCTTGAATTCCCGTAAATCTATAGGTGACGACTCTAACCTCCACGCTATTTAGCACGAGATTTTGAGTCTCGTGTGTCTACAATTTCACCACCAAGGCATCTTGAAAATGAACCGTATTTCATGAATATGATATCTATCTAGTGTGATGTATGAAATATTTGACAAAGGTGGATCTATTGATCAGTCATGTCATATAGGTCCGAAACGGACATCCAATCTTCGATTGAATTATGCACATAATACAATGCCTGATATATAAAAAAAGATGGACAATTACGTCTAGATCTATCCCTGACACTAGAATTATGGGAGAAAATGACCTAGTTAAAAATCATTAAATAAAATCTGGAGACATGCCACCGAAATAAAGAATTTGATATGAAAATTCATTATTTCACAGGCTCCTTTTGTGTGTAAACACGGAATGTCAACTTTGCAAAAGTAGTTCTTAGATACTCAGGGAACCATTTGGTGTGAAAAAGGTTCTCCGTGAAGGATGATTGTGTAAATAAGGATTTGTATAACAACCCGATCGGTCATTTTGAGAATTTACATTATGTTCGGTAGTTTGAGGTTATGAGTAGCTTTATATGGTGTATTATAACTTGTCTGTATCGTCGGTTTTGGTTTTTGAGAGGTTTGGGATTGATTTGGAAGAATGATTCTCAATTTGGAAGCTTTAAGTTGAAATGGTTGACCAAATTTAACTTTTGTAAATTTGACCTTGGATCGGAGTTTTTATAGTTCCATTAGGTGCGGATGCTGATTTTGGACTTAGATGAATGCCCGGATTTGCACTTAGATATTTCTAGAAGGTTTTGGCACTATTTGGCGAAAGTTGAAAATTTGAAGGTTTGAAAAGTTCCTAGGTTTGACTGGGAGTTGGCTTTGGAGTTATCGGGCTTGGATTGTCATTACGAAAGTTGGAATATATTTGTTGTGTCATTTAGAACTTGTGTACAAAATTTGAGGTGATTCTCAGTTGTTTAGAGGTATTAGTTAACACCCTAAATTTTTTACACTAATATTTGCATTCTCAATTGGCCATCTTTATAACTAGGACAAATTTTACTTGGAACTTCCTAAACTTGAATTTGACGATATAGGAAAATTGCTTAACCATGATCAACTTTCGATTTCCTGCCCATGATCAGCTTTCACTGAGAGGAAATTTTCATTCTAGAGAGAGAATTAAATTAAAGTAAAATTCAATGGCAGAGCAATGTCACAAATGGTGGAAAGCAAACTGTACCGCAATCTACAGATACGAAGAAAACTAAGAGTATTAATGTACTCCAAGGAATTGTGCCGCTGGATTTAGCAAATGGAACGATGGATCAAACACCAAGCCAATGCAAATTGGTGACTAGGAATGGAAACAACAACATGCAGAGTAGCGGGAAGAGCTCATGGGCGGACAAGGTAGAAGAAGATACGATGGTGGAAGCAGAGGCGGGAAAATCACAACACAATGTGCATTCATGGAGTAACGTAGTGGGGCCAATTCCTCAAACTGAAGGTTTTGACTTGAGTAGTGAGGAACTAACGTATCAAAATGTAAAAATTACAATTGACGATATCAAGGATGAGTTGAGTACTGGAAATCAGCAGTGATCTGCTATGTGCTGGGATCTAATCCCCCTCTGGCAGTTATGGATGGTTATTTGAAATGAATTTGGGGAAATAGAGGAATTGACAAAGTTACAGTAGTGAATAAGGGGGTCTTCCTTGTGAGATTTCAATCTGAAGAAGCTAGAAACAGAACAATTGAGGAAGGAGTCCATATGTTTGATAAAAAGCCAATAGTAATTAAACCTTGGAAGCAGGATATTGATATGAAAAAGGAGATAATTGACAGGATTCCAATATGGATTAGGCTTATAGGGTTGGACATCAAATATTGGGGGAAGAGTGCACTTACTAAGATTGCAGGAATGGTAGGAAAGCCATTGAAGGCAGATAGTGCTACATCACAGAAGGAAAGACTTACATTTGCTAGAATACTTATTGAGGTATCAATCAATCAACAATATCCATCAACAATCATGTTTGAAAATGAATATGGGAAGATTATAGAACAAAGAGTGATGTATGAATGGAAGCCAGTACATTGCCTCACATGTAATAATTTTGGGCATGAACAATCAGACTGCAGGAAAAATATAAAGAAGGAGGAAGAAAGGGAACAACAAAGGCAAATTCAGAATGATCAGCATAATGATGGTAAGGGAGGGCAGGAAAGGCCTTAGGATAACACAAGCAACGGAGGGAACGAAGAAGGCAGAGCAAAGGAGGTAGAGATGATTGCATCAAAAGAAGAAAGGGAAACACAGTACATTAACAAGGGCAAGAGAGATGACTCTGACTCTTGGGAACTCGTATGCAGCACTAGCAAAGAACACTGATGAGACAACTAAAGCAGATGGAAGCATAGCAAGCTCATCTAACCCTAGAGATAAGCAAGCTAGTTTGGGACATAACATTGGAAAGGGTAGGGGAAACCCCCTACCTAATGGATAATATTGGGTGCTGGAATATAAGGAGTCTAAATAAGTCAGGCAAGCAGAAAGAAGTAACCTGTTTCTGCACAACATTAAGGCTGGTTTATTTGGACTGCTGGAGACAAAGATTAAGAGAACAAAGGCTCAACAAGCCACTCTTAATCTTTGTAATGGGTGGTCTTTCAGCACAAACCTGCATAAACATTCAAGGGGTCGGATTTGATTTTTATGGAAACCTCAAATATATGAGGTTGACATAATCACAGTTACTGCACAAGTAATTCACTGTTAGGTTAAGCATAGAGGAAGACATGAGAAGATATATATAACTGTGGTGTATGGGTTTAATGATCAAGCCCTCAGAAGAGAACTCTTGGAGGAGATAAGGATAATATGTAGTCAGGTTCAGGGACTTTGGAGTGTAATGGGGGATTTTAACCGTGTCCTTTATGAAGAGGAAAGGATTGGAAGTCCTATTTCTGTGGCTGAAATAAGAGATTTTAAGAAGTGTGTGGAGAATTGTGATTTGTATGACTTAAAATCTACCGGGGCATATTTCACTTGGAATAACAAGCAAGAAGGGGTTGATAAAGTTCTGAGCAAGATTGATAGAATCCTAGTTAATAGTGATTGGCTAGCACTACTCCCTGCTTCCATAGTTCATTATATGGAAGAAGGGTTGTATGACCATTGCCCTACTACTATCAGTTGGGAAAAAGGAGATAACAGGAAGAAGTAGCAGTTCAAATATTTTAATATGTGGAGTATGGCTCCAGACTTCTTAGAAAAAATAGAGGAAAGCGGGCAAGAAAGGATACCGGGAAGCAAGCAATATCAACTATTGGGGAAGTTGAATAGATTAAAGAAAGTGTCGTGGAAGATCAACAGGGACAGATTTAGTGAAGTTGAAAAGAGAGCAGATCATGCAAAGATGGAACTTCTAGCATGCCAAGCTAGAATTCAGACAAATCCTATGGATTATGAATTGCATAAGCAGGAAAAGGAATTAGCACAAGCATATAGCAGCTGGGAAGATGCTAGATATCAGTACTTAAGGCAAAAGAGTAAAATGCAATGGGCAATGCAAGGTGATCAAAATACAAGATTCTTTCACAATTGTATAAAGGCTAGGAGGAACACTAACAGAATCTTCTCAGTAAGGGATACTTATGGAGAAAATATCACAAAGATGGAGAAGATTGCAAACACATTTACAGAGTTCTATTCATCATTACTAGGCACAAGTAAAGGTGATAGAGATCATGTGTGTAGCAGTTTAGTGAAGAAGGGGGCTGTGGTGCCCGAAGAAGATAGGAAAATGCTAGTGGTTCCTCATTCAGAGAAGAAAGTAAAGCAAGCATTATGGGAAATTGTAGGGGATAAGAGTCCTGGTTCGGATGGATATGGGAGTCAATTGTACAAGGACAGTTGGAGAATAACTGGAAGGGATGTAACTGCAGCAGTTTTGGAAATTTTCAAGACTGGGAAACTGTTACATATGCTGAATAATACTGTTATTACACTCATTCCAAAAGGAACTCATGCAGTTTCAGTAGGTGATGACAGACCAATAGCTTGCTGCAAAATTGTCTACAAGATAATATCAAAGATGCTATGTCAAAGACTAAGGAAGGTACTGCTTGGGATAATTTCAGAAAATTAAAGTACATTTGTAGAAGGGAGATACATTGCACAAAACATCCTAATTTGTCAAGACAAAGTGAGGCTCTATAATAGGAAGAGTACTACCAAGAGCTTTCTAATAAAGATTGATCTCAAGAAGGCTTATGACTCGGTGGATAGGGATTTGTGGAAGAAATGTTGTATGCATTGAATTTCCAATCCAATTCATAAGCTGGATCATGAGGTGCATTACAACTACACAATATACAATAGCTATTAATGGTGGTATGTATGGATGCATCGCAGGAAAGAGGGGTGTAAGACAGGGGGATCCAATATCCCCACTGTTGTTTGTAATATGTATGGAGTATTTTACTCGAATCATGAGAATGGTGGCTGAACAAGATGGATTATCTTACAAAATGCAAGGGGCTGCAACTAAATCATCTCTGCTTTGCAGATGATGTATTATTGTTTTGCAAAGGGGAGCTCCAAGCTATAGTACTGATGTTGAGAGGACTACAAAGCTTCTCAAATGCATCTGTACTTACTACAAATGCTGCAAAATCTAATATCTTCAGTGCAAATATGGATGAACAATGCTTGCAAGACATATGTGAGTTGACAGGTTACAAGAGGGGATCCCTACCTTTAAGATATCTTGGGGTACCTATATCACCAAAGAAACTTGCAGCACTGGATTGTGAAATCTTAGTGAATAAGATGACAATGATGATTAAAAGCTGGGGGACTAGAAACTTATCATATGTAGGGAGAGTTTTACTAGTAAATGTAGTACTAATGCACATACACTCTTACTGGGCATCCATCTTTGTGCTGCCTAAGAAAGTGATTAAAAGCATTATAGGAGTATGTATGAGTTTCTTGTCGGATGGGAAAGTCCACACTAATAAGTCATATCTAGTAGCATGGGACTTGGGATGCAGGACAAAAAGACAGGGAGGCTTAGGGGTACATGATACTGCTGCCTGGAATGAAGCAGCTATAGCAAAGTATGTCTGGAATATAGCAGCCAAAACAGATATTATGTGGGTCAGATGGGTAAACCATATTTACTTAAAAGGGAGAGACTGGTGGCAGTGCAAACCTCCTATTGATTGTAGCTAGTACTGGAGGAAAATTTGTACAATTAGAGATAAATTTGCTGATGGACACACACAGAATCATTAGCTAACTACAAGTGGAGTTTATACACAAAGTAATGGCTATAGCTGGAAGAAAGGGGCTATGGAACACTGGCCTTGGCGAGGGTGGGTATGGAATAAGATGAACATGCCTAAACACAACCTAATCTGTTTGTTAGTAGCACATAACAGACTCTTGACGAAAGATAGACTGAAACATATGGGAATTAGCAAAGACAGCTTATGTGAGATATGTGGAGCTGCAGAAGAAACAGTTGCTCATTTGTTCTTTGAATGTCCACTTGCGAGGAGGTACACGGAAGACACTCTGAGATGGTTAAACATAGACATTAGGAATATGGAGCTGCGAGGGTTAGGCAGAAGAATGACCAGACAAGTTAAAGGCAAAATATGCAGGGCAATTGTGTTGGCCATACTAGCAGCTGTAGTTTATAACATACGGAGAGCAAGGAACTTAGCACTTTGGGAACATAAGGTGATACGACCTGGGCAGCTATGCAGTCAGATAAAGCAAGATTGTAAGCATAAATAACATGAAGCATTGAGGAGAAGACACACAAGCAGAGAGAAAGATTGGATAGAAAAACTTTATAGAGAAAATGTATAGTTGAGGATTGTATATAAGAGATAGAATGGACAATTAGAGAGAAGTCTAATTGTATTTCTGAGATGTAAGTTTTGATAAGTGATAAATAAAATCTTTTTGTTCGACCAAAAAAAAAAGAAGAAAATTGCTTAACCTAGATTGTATTAATTTGTTCAAAGAAGTTTCATGGTATTGCTATGTTTAACACTTAATGTCATTTTGATAAATTGTTATGAAATACAGTAGAGGTGTGTTTGGTATGAAAGAAAATATTTTCTAATTTTCCCATGTTTGGTTGGTTTTAAATATTTTGGAAAATATTTGCCTCATGAACTCATTTTCCTCCAATTGGAGGAAAATATTTTCCTTATCAAAAGAAGAGAAAACATTTTCCAAAACTCTTTTCAACCTTCTCTACCATATTCCCCATCTCCACCAACGCAAACCCACCCATCCCTCCCTCAAAGCACCCCTACTGTAACGATCCGGCTGGTTGTTTTGAGAATTAAAGCCCCAATCCCCTATTAACTACTTCCCCCAGGATCGTTCGTTTTGAGTTTCGGAGTATTTTGGGACACTTAGTCCCTAAACGAAGGCTCAAGTCTTAGAATTTGAACCATAGTCGGAAAAGTGTGAAGACGACTCCGGAATGGAGTTCCGTCGATTCCGTTAGCGCTGTTGGATGATTTTGGGCTTAGGGGTCCGGATTGTGTTTTGGAGGTCCGTAGCTCAATTAGGCTTAAAATGGCGAAAATTGAATATCACGGCGGAGGTCTTATCATAAGTCGACGTGAGATCAGCAATCAGTTAATTAGGGGATTTTTTATCTTTTATAGAGTTGTACCTAATGTAGGACTCCCTTGCTATATAAAGGGAGGTCTGATTACTTGTAAAGGACATGGTAACACACATTCCAAAGCAATATATTTTTAATTTCTTTCTTTAAGCTCCTGTTCTTCTGTATCTTGATATTGATCCAGCTGCATCTAGTTCAAGTGTGATTGACTTTCCAAGACTGTATCTGTTCAAGTTGTGCGGTTTGAATTTACTTTATCATTGTTCATTTCAATTGCAATTCTAATTTATCGCTTTGTGTCAATTAGATCCACGTATCCTTAAAATCATTTACAAATTCAATTGTTATCCGATTTTGAAAGTAAACTCAGTGCAGCGGCACTCACAGCCTGATATATGTCAAATATAGACAAATTAAATATTCCTCTCTCTAGCAAGGGTCCAAAATTCAAATCGCTAAAGATCCCACCTTTGTTTTATACTACTAATTTCAAAATATTTATTTTTTTGTTAAATTTTGTGCCAAGTCAAACATCTCCACTTACCGGAGAGTATTCTCTTAAGAGTTTGAAGAAATAGAGGAGTTGATATTTCTAATACAGTTGGGGACCAAAAGCAGATATTACTAAAGTTGGTAACAACTTACTAAAATACAAAAAAACCCTAGAGCACCATTTCTCTCCTATATAAACTCATATATGCTTTATCATTCTCTCATCCATCACTTCTCAACCTGTGCGGCTATACATGAAGACAGCTCAAGATAATGACGAGGATGAGGATTTCAACGACGATGAAGACGTTGGAAACCAATTCCATCATGAATCCCGTAAAAGGTTTCATCCAAATTGAATCAATGAGTCACCAATTGTAGTCTTTCTTCAATATAGCCTTTTGATTTGATTATATTCTATTCTTTATTCTTAATTGGTTCTTACACTTATAAGTGTCAATATGCTTAGGTAATGGAGCGTTGCTGCTTGAACGATCTCCCTTCCAGATATAATGGTATCTACAAGTTTGTTTATAAATATTGTAACACATGAAAAAATAAAAATTGATGCCATAAAAAATCTTTTAAAATTCACTCTTCTTAATCTTTCAGATCCATAAAGCATTTTTTTCTTCTCCTAGAGTAAGTCGTCGTTTCAACATTTAATAAAGGGGATAGAATCCCCTTTTTCTAGTTTGCAAAGAGTGGTTCAAATTATAATTTTATCAATTTCAGTGTTTAATTTTGGTAAAATAATTATTTTAAGCCATCTTTATATACTCTAGTTTTGGAAAGAGTATCATGCTATGTCTAAACTTCAAACAGTTAGCTTTGAATGTTCGGATTTATGCACAGAATCTTTACGTTGGAGATTTTATCGTTTAAACATTAAGTATTTAGCTTTAAATGTTCGAGGACGTAGAGTATTTATCTATAATTTGTTTAAATCTTACGTTTCGATTTTAAGAATTATTAAGTTTGATGCAGTTGCTTGAATTCCATTGAATCATTGATCAGCTGCAGCAGCAGCAACAACAAGAGCAGCACTAGCAAGATCAGCAGCAACAGTAAGAGCGCCAACAGTAACAGCAACGACAACAGCTACAACATATTAGAGTAGCGAGTGGTAGTGGTAGCAGCATTAGCAGTGTAGTAATTTGAATATACGGAATTACATGTATGTCTCACAGGAGCGGAGCTATACAGTACTATGTACTTTCCATAGAACTATTAGTTTTTTTTATTGGACATATATTCGCATTAGGAAATTCATTAAATATGTATAACTAGTTAATCGATTACCTAGAGAATGTGCATCTATCTTATATCTTTGTTTTAGAGAACTCTAGTTTGTCTTAAAAGACAAAATAATATACTATATGGTTCATAATTTCATATAACTGACCCTTATGTTTAGTTTGTCCAGTTACAACAACAATCCTTTTAAACAACATCT